AGGTGGTCGATTAGTTCTAAAGTACTACCTTTCAACACTGTGCACCCTTAATCAGATGTTTACTGGACGTACTATCAAATTTAGAAAACTCTAACATACTTCATACTGCACATGCCTCATTTCTTCCAAGATAGAAATGAGTTTAAGGGCATGCATCTGATATACCTCATCATCTTGGCCTCAGCTTTCCATTTGTTTGCAATGCATGCATATAGAAACTAAAATGCAGGCTACTACTTTCCCCAAGATCTTAAAGCTGCACTAATCACTTTTTTATATTAACAATGGATAAAACGACTATGTGTATGTGACATCGATCACTCGTAGTGACAAAGTGACAAACCCACAGGGAGTTATAACCTGAATCTGCAGTTCCCCTCAGCTCTACAGAGCTTTTGTCTCTTTTAGCTGATTGTTGTGGTTCTGGGATCCGCTAAATCCACTCTAATCAACCGTGTTTCCAACTGAAAAAGTTCTGAAAAACCCACAATTCAGCGCTAAACAACAGACAGATGAAGTTAGCAACTAGCTGGTAAATTTAGTGTAGCATTTAGCAGAGCCAGATATTTTCCTTAGGAGTTGATAGAGGCCAAAAACAGAACTAATAGAAGAGAGAATACTGGCCAAAAATGCTAATGTTGCTCCAGGTTTTTGCAAAAACTTCGTTCATAAGGCAAAAATATTTTTTGTTTTGTCTGTTTTTTTTGTTTTTCCACTGCCAAAGCGCCCAAATTAGATTAATTCAGTAATAAATCTGACAAAATATACTGTGCATTTCAGACCATGAAAACACACGTTGTTTTTAGTGACATAAAAGCAACAGTTAAGCAGCTGTAAGTAAAACTGCAGACTCCAGTATTTCCCTTTCAACATTAGAGTGTAATGTCTCCATGTCTGTGAGAAACTATCATTCAAGTGTCCATAAATGGTGCCTCAAGGTGTTTCAGTTGCATTCTTCTATCCACAACAAGCAGGCACTTACACAAACATGCGGCCTGGAACAACACAGAGGAGGATGGGGACCGTGGCACCTCCTTCCCAAGCCTCAACATGGATGCAGTTAGCAATGACAAGGTTCATGGAGGAGTGACGCAAAGAGAGGGAAAAAAGACTGAGAAACAACTAGTGTGTGAGACGTTCCTGCCCACAATGAAACCATCTTCTCCGTGCCATTTTGAATATGAAAATACACTGTACGTTGGTGCTTCAGGTAAAACAAACCTGCCAGGTTGCCTTAAGAAAAAAAAAAAAAAAAGGAAGATAAAATGTTTATTTTAATACAAAGGGATCTAAACAATCCTCCACCGAGACTGTGTTTCACTTTCAAAGAAACTTGTTCATCAGCCAGTCCTTGAAATCCAGTCATCTACCCAGGAGTTTTGCCAAAAGCCTAACGGTCACAGCAGTGCCACACCCGAGCTGAGGGTTTTGAAGCAACCCCAGGTTGGTTTCCCAGGATACAAAGCTCATTCAGTCGATGCAACCTGCACTGGCATGTTTGTTGAGATAATGGAGCACATCGATCAGCCTCAACATTAAAACAATATTATGTTTCTGCTGCAGCAGCTTCAGCCATGACTGGTTTCTAGAGAAACAGAAGAAGATTTGATTTATGGAAATTTGGTTTAGCAAAATGTGAAAATTACCAACTCAGGTTGTGACTGTAACGTTCAATAAAAAGAGAAAATAAGATCATTGAAGGGAGTCAATCATAATCACCTCTAACAGAATACTGAGATACTTGTGTTATGATTGAAGTTAGATAAAGATCCTCTTGGCTTTTGTTCTAATTTACAAATGTATAATTCCAGCGCAACCGTGACTCAGCTGTGAGATTTAGGTCATGCACTTGCATTTCTTCACCTCCAGAGGGCGAATACGTCCACTTCTTCAAGCGGACTTGTAAAGATGCCCATCCGCCAGCTCCTTTTTTAAACTCATTCTCTATCAGCTTGTGTGCATGACACCATTGTTTTTGTTGTACGTTCTGCTGTGTGCACTGAGGGGACGTTAATGGCAAAATTAATCCTTAAACAAATAGGAAGTGTTGCTATAAAATAGGCATGGGAAAGACAACATTCCTTGACACAACACTGGGAATGAGGGAAACATGTACCAGACCATCAGGAACAGTGGAGGGATTCAGGAAAGCAGAGGAAAAGTTACAGAGAGAGGAAGATAAAGGGGGAAAGGGAGGGATGGAGAACAGGGGGAGCAACGGAAAGGAAAAGAGGGGGACAGCTGGAAGAATGACAGGATGGGAGCGTCATTCCCTCCACTCTATCCCATGGGTGAAAGTGGGAAAAGTCAGAGTTCAAATGCTAGGAACGGGAGGTCACACTTTTATGTTGACAAAAGTGTGTGTCTCCATGGAGAAGCAGCGAGAGAGAGAGAGCGGAGCAGAGAAACACTGAGGTTTTTGAGTTAGAGGAGGAAGGAAATTTGTTTGGGTGAGTGTCGAGCACTTCCACTCTACTGTGACAGCTTTGAAGCTTGTTGAGCGAGTAACCTCAAGAAAAGGTGTTAGTCTTGAACGTTGACATGAGAGAATCTGTGAAGAGCACTCGAATACATACTGTATATAACTGGTGGAGAGATGGAGCTGAAACAGAAAAATAACAAGCTGTGGTTCTCACGTCCTTAAATAGTTTTCACTTTGGGATATACGCTCATTTGCTTTCTTGCCAAGAACAAGATGAGAAGATAGATATCACTCTCGTACCCACCTACCAGCTCCGATGGCTGCGTCCACACAAATACGTTTTCATTTTAAAAAAAGTAAACTGTCTTCGTTAACACTAGCACACCCGCAAACACATATCACATGACCATTCACATACACGTGCCAGTGTAAACAGGAAGCAGATTGTCTACTCTGCAGTTGGTTAGTTGCAGAAAATAATACGAATGAAGAACAGCAAAGGCATTTGTAACATGATAAAACGCAGAATTTAACTGTACCGCAGCTGCTAGCAAAGACAACCAGGTCAGCAACGCTTGTATTCAGTTGTCCATGTCCATTGTGATCAGGGCCAAACAGGCAGCGAGCACGGGTGTCTGCAATTGTCTGTATTGTAGTTTCCAAAGGTGTCAGTTTCTGTCTAAAATGCAAACTAAAACTGGGACAGCAGCGTTTGCAAAAGTCTCCCTTTTAGGTGCTTGAAAACTCCGGAGTAGTGTTGGACACCA